ATGCTAGAAGTGAGAAGTGTCCATTGCCACTTTACAGCTCCCTTAGGTTGCTCATAGCTGTGGAAGATGTTCTGCTGAGAGGGGGAGAGAGAAGAACAGTCTCATGCCTTTTGGAAAAATGTAAAGTAGTTTCCAGAACAGTCTCTCACGATGTCATAGTCATGTAGAGCAATTTGGGAGTGGCTGAGTGGTTTAGGTGTCTCTTGGGAAGAGGACTGGGCAGCCATCACCAGCCACATAACAATGGAGCAACAACAGGGAGTGAATCTCTCTTCAGAGAGAGTGAAAGGACTGAGGATTTCTGAAAGCCTGTGTGCTTGTGCTCATGTTCACAAATTATCCAGGAGGATTCATTTATTTGATTGCAAACCCCATGAACCTACTCAGTCTACAGCTGTTAATGTGTGTAGGTCCTATTGCCTATTTGGCAATATTTTTAACTTGGAATATGAGTGTGAAAAGAGTTAGTGAGAAATTGACATCTTTAGCACAAAGTGCCTGTAAGCATAAAACCATGTAGCCTTAAGTCCTCCTAGAGATGCGTTTTTTCAACTGCTATTTTTATAAATTACTTGTTTCAGTGCCATTTACGGTCATTTCCTTCCATAGAGATGTTATTTTGCAGTTGTTTAGTCCACAAAGCACAAACCTTCTCTGGCTTCTGCCTTAACTAACCAACCAGTATAAATTCTCTTGAAATTCACAGCTGTCTTCACTGAATGTGAATAAATGAGCCTGCCAGGTTGAGCTGACTCTAAACTTTCTTGTCTTTGGGATGCAAATCCTTTTAAGTATATTTAGGCCATCTCTATTTGATTTTCATGGGACATGGGGGAGGGAGAGAAACTTACTCTTCCATAAAGGAAAGAAAATGAAAAAGATGGGCTTGAAATCACTCTGTTCAAAGTCACTATCAAAGTCATTATGTTCCATTCAAGAACCCAAGGATGCTGGACTTCTGTTTTCCTTGTTCGTGTAAGAAAAAGGATTTCTCTCCATTGTTTTCATTTTTCACTTATGATTTAAACCATATTGGGATTGTGGCTGGTAGGTATCACAAAAGATTCATGAGAATTCTAGTGACTGGTTCAAATTCCAAAGCTGAACAGCTGGTACTTAGATGTTTTTAATGCCTGACTGAAATTTTTCATCAAAATCCTCACCACTTCCCATATTCTTTACCTTCCCGGCCTGGATACCCAGTAATCTGCTTCTTTTAAAATAACATTTTCCTGACACAAGGTCTCAGAGCACCACTTAAAACTGCCCAGATCATATTTAATTCATATTGGATTTCCCCAACAGGAGATGCTTAAGTTTATATTATGGCCAGCACACTGGAAAACCCCAGATATTCAAGAGCTGGATAAAAAATTCTTAATAACACAGAACATAAAGTATTTGCTGTACCCCTTAGTCCTCCTCCAACTCATAGGCAGAGGCAGAAATGGGATAAAAACCAGTGCAGTGCTCAGAAAGTGCAGCATTTCAGACATGATCATCCTAAACACAAATCCCTCTTTACTGCTGGCTTATATAAGAATTTCTTCCAACTTTATTGATGCACAGTCACACTCCCAGCCTGCCTTAATGTAAATGAAAAGTCAGACTTTGATGTGTAATATTGTAAAAGTTCTATGGTAAAATATAGCTGCAAATTTTGTACATTTTTATTGTAGAAATGTAAGAGTTTTCATCTTGACAGATGATAAAATGTATAATGCACTGTGTGCAGAGGGCTGGTGCTGGCTTTGCAGAGGTAGGAACCAGAGCTGATACCATCCAGCAATCTGTCTGTCAAACTTTGTAAAAAAGGCATATTTTATGGTGTTTCTGGATAATAAGGTCTCCTGAGCTCTTTGCAGCTGGATTTCTGTGATCATGTTTTCAAGAACATTCAAAATGCAGATGGGGGAGGAGAAATGGGTGCAATTTTCATTAGCAGTTGGGTTTATTAAGCAGCTATTATTAGGCACCAGTTCTTCCCAAAAAAGGATACCATTAAAAATCTGGCTTATGGCATTAAAGGTAAAACTACAGAAGTAAACTGCAACCAAAAGCCTTAAGACTTCAAAAGCTTTTTAAAATACGTTGCTTAATTCCAGAAAGGATCATATGGAGAATACAGCTGGATTGAGACCATATAAAGGATTTCTTAACTTGTGGTTGGGATGACTTGCACAATCTACTTGTAATTGCTGTTTGTGAGCAGCAGGACCATGGCAGAGCATACTCCAAAAACTCAAGCAAGTGTAAAGGAAAGTGAAGATTATTGATGAAACCTGGATCTAAATATCATAAAGAGTTTTTTGATTGAACAGTGCTGTGACAGAATTGCAGTGCAAAATGTGAGGACTCTGCTTAGTCTTTTCCTACATCTTAATGGAGAAAAGAGTTATAAAGATAAATTATTTAGGCAGACAGCCTGTATATTCCACTTCTTAACCAGTTCTTACAAGACTAAAAAAATCTTCTCCAGTTGAAGACTCTGTGGTAAGAACAGGAGTTTTATGAGGAGTGACAGCAGAATTTTAACTCTGTGCCACATTCCTCTACTGTTCCATGTGTTTAGTCTTGCCCAGTTTAATACAGCAAGCTCTCTGTGATTTCAGGATTGCGTTTTTTGGCGCACTTAGCCAAATCAGACCATGGTTCATATTTTATATTTATACTTCAAGTTCTGATGTGACAGATGTTTCAGTTGGATACAATTTGCTGTGATCAGAAGTGTGCTTTCAAATATTTTTAAATATTTTATAGATTAGCACCCACAAGAAAGCAGAGCCGAGAAGAAAAGTAACTGCTACATCAGCTTATTTTCTGTGACTGCTGATGAATTAATGATTATTGTTTCACATCTCTTATACCAATAGCAGGCATAAAAGGCTTTAACATTCAGGATACTCAAAAATATTAGAAAAGGGAGGTCACAGTGGAGTCTTATCTAAGTTGCAATGAGCAGGGACCAGTCACTGGGAGAGGGGGAATTGTAAGTCACCTGTTAGGGCAGGGAGTAACAACTCCTGGGAGCATCCTGGAGTTATCTGCATTATCTGCAGGCAAAGGGAGCAAGGCACCACTGCCTGGGGTTTTTTCTTTACCTACTTGTTGAATTTGAGCCCACCAAATAGTCAAAACATGTGTGTGTATATATATTCACATGTGTGTATACAGAGGGATGAGTTAGGGGAGAGAGGGAGAAAGTAAACACATGGTTTATATATTTGGATTTGTATAAGGGTAGATAAATCAAAAGTGTTTGATTTTAGAATGACAAACTAAACAAAACAAAACAAAAAATTAAATACACACAGCTGTTCCTCCTAAGGAGGAAACAGAGAGAAAGGTATCCAAGAACCCAGTCCACCATAAGCTGCTGATCAACCAGACAAGCTATTATTAAATTTAACTGTCTCTGAAGCATTGAGGGCTATTGGAGTGCCCCGAAAATCAAAAGGTTTGACTTATCTAAATCAGATATGGTACTTTCTTCCTCATCTTTTTCCTTTTAATAGAGTTTCCATTTGACATTTGTTTTGGTTTGTTTTATGTCTTCAGTTTCAATATTTCAGAAAGCAAAGCAGTCTGGATTTAAGTGGTGTACAGAGCCTGATTGATCTTCTTCAAGCCTCTAAAGCTATCTTCAATGACTGTCATATTAGTGGGATAAAGAAAAGCACAGTGCTCCACAGGGCTGATTTTCAGTTTTTCTGTGCTGTGCTCTGAAATAATTTCTCAAGGATTTAACTGGATGCTGAAACAGCAGTTTAAAAATTCTTTGCTTTGATCTGAAATACCTGATAAAAACACATGGATTTTCTGTAGTCCTTCTTTCTGTGTTTCTATTATTTTTATTTAATTTACCAGCCTGAATGACTGTTTATCTTTGTGGTGCATAGGTAATAAATGTTAGGCTACAGATGAAGACAAAATCCTGAAATGATTTGGGCAAAAGGAAAAAGCAACAAAGGTAGAGTGGAGAAAAAAACGCAATAACCTGAGACCAAATGTTATTTATGCATTTACAGTGTTTAAACATATATTTATCAACAAATGTCAACTACAACCCAGCTGTAATTTTGCCCTGTTGTAGCCAGTTGCAAAAGCTCAGTCCCTTATTCATTGTTAGCTATTGGAACAGGATTCTGAGATAAGAAAAATGGCATTTAAAAAAAAGTTTATTAGCAAAAGCTGGTGCTTGTCCTGCATGTTACTATACTCTGTACTTACTCAAAATCCACAATAAATTGTCCCCCCAATCCAAGCTGCTACCTGAGATCTTTGTAAGTTCAAAACTGTCATTCTTTCCTCTCTAAACATTATCCTCACACTCCTTTGTAATTTTACTCCTAACAGTGAGCAGAATGTCCCAGCATCATCAGCAATGAGCCAGGGCCCCAGTGGCTTTTCCATTTCTTTTGGACATCTTCAAGCTATTCTGAATCAGGGTGCTGAGTCCTGCAGTGTGGAGCCCACAAAGGCTGCAGTGTTTTCTGCACATGGTTATTCATTGGCCTGTGACAGTGACATTGATGTTGTGGTGGCAGACACATGCAGACTGGAAATTAATATGCTGAGCTTGATAATTATGGAAGAGTTTAAAAGGGAGGCCTCCAAGCTCTATTAAATCACTTAATAAAATCTGAGTGGAAGTATCTAAAAAGCATGAGAAAACCTTGGATTGCCTTATTTATATTTGATACTTAATGGAAACATAAATATTTAAAACCCATGAAGTTATTAACTAAATTAACCAGAATTATTTTAAAGGAACATTTTACTCAGCTAGATCATCAGTCAAGCAATCTCTATTCAAATTGGTGGAGCTCTGTTGTTGTACACAGCTTGAGCTCTTCATCATGATATCTTTTCTAAACATAGCTGCTTTCAGAGCTTGAGGCTGTTTTTGTGACAGCTACATACGTGTTTTTCAAATGACTTAAGAACCATAAAACCATGTTTAATATATTAGGGAAAAAAAAGCACTTATGTTAACTTACCATTCTGTAAAGTTTATCCTCCAGATCCTGATTAATTCTTTGTAAGGCTAGGTAATTGTTTTGTATCCTAAAACAAAGATGATATCATGTAACTGAATGCATTGCTTTTCATGTTGTTTTTCACCTGTGTTTTCACATCAGTACAAAACCTTGGCTTGCACTACTTGAATTCTATTTGCTTATCACTCCTGTTACCAGTCAGTGGTTGCCTTTGAAATGCAATTACCACCTGCTTCCTAAGCAAACTTCCAAACTTCTTTGTCATATTTTCCTACTATATTTAGCAGCAAATTCCAGGAGGAAGTGAAGATATGTTGGTTGTTCTGCACTTGTATGCAGACACATATTATAGCTAGGAACTTGCACAAGGTAATTATAATTTTTCATCAAGCTCAAGAATAGTATGTAAGAGAGGAAGCTTGAGCTCTAGGCTTAGGCAGCACAAAAAAAGATTTATTGTGAAATTGCAGCAGAATCCTAGTGACTGTAGCAACATGTGGGCATCAACATGTGACTTAGAAGAGAATATTTATTCTTCCAACAAAAGTTCAAGAAGTTGCCTATTTTTTCCAGGAAATATATTTAGATAGCTTAGCTGAGAAAAGATGGAGATTTATTTTTATCAACACTTAGGGATTGAATGAACTCAAAAAATGAGGCTTCCCTACTTATTCCAGAGCAACACACCAAAGAAAAGTTTCAGCCTGCACATCTTTGGGTTACTTAGATGGTAACCTTGGTATTGTAATGAACAAGCTGCACAGCCTGTGGGAAAACCATTGGTATTTTGGTAGCAGCTGTGGCTTTCTCTCCACAGAACCTAAGGAGGATAGCTCCTTGTTCATTAGTACCCATCACCTCAGCACAATACATAACAAATGCAAAGCAAATGTTACAAGCTCAGCTGTGAAATTTTGTCTGAATAAATCTATATGACTGTACTGATCAATAGGTCAAAGTATTTTCAGCAGTGAGATGTTAGGTAATGTGCAAGTGTTTTCACTGTGAGAGTGAACTCAGATGTAATCCACATTTATACAGCAAAACACACTCCCTCTGAAAAGTCTGGATCTAGGTGTAGTTTCTGTGGTTATCAGGATGGGACTGGGATTAAAGAAGTCTCTTTGTTTATCATTTGGTTAGGAGTGGCTGCTGAAGCTGGAATGAAGATCTGTTCTCCAAACGTGCCCATAGCTGTGAATCAAAGGGTCCAGCCCACCCCTTCTTGGCAATATGATGCTTATCTCGGCTTCTGTTGCCATGGAGATTTTCTTTCCAGTTAAATGATCAGAATTCTCCATTCAGGGCAGGCCAGTGACAACAACTCGCAGTGCAGTGCCCCTCTTAAGGGATGCAGAGCTCTGGCTGGGGCTCCCAGCATTGCAATGACATCTGCTGCACGGACCTGAGAGGGGATGTCTGTGCCAAGGACATCTGCTCTGTGGATATAAATAATGACTTCCTCATGGGCGAGCCTCCTCAGGGTACCAAGGGTCAGCCCACAGTCAGGGCATTTCCAATATGCATTGCAAGCCTGGGGAGAGTCTCAGTGTTGCCTGTTTTACAGAGCTGCTGAGCAGAGACTTCCTTCCTGAGAGGAGGACCTGTGGTAAACAGCGCTTGCTAAGGTGGTGACCCAAATGGGCTGAAAATCTCCGAGACTTGCACTGTGAGACTTGGTCAATACTCACCAATTCTCATAGTGCTATTGTGTTCATGTCCAGGGGACTTAAAGGATAGACTGAAGTTTACAACTCTCTGCATTGTCCATGCTCCTCTCAGCATTTACCACTAAGCCTCTCTATAGACATTGATTTGTGCAGCTCTAGGTTTACTTGGGATTTCCCCAGCCATTTAGCTGTCAACACAACAGAGACAAATCTCATTCTGTATCCATCTTTTCATGGTACAGAAGAAAGCAGAGATGATCTTGATAAAAGGAGGGTTAAAATGGCTTTGCCTGCAGCTACTCAACACAAATATTTTGTTTTGCTGGTAAGGATGTATGCCATGATGCAGGAAGAAAGGATTTAGAGAAGTAAAATAGTGTCTTCTAGCTGAGCCCAGAAGTGCCCCAGCATCTTCTCTGTCATGTTTATATTTTTTGTCTAGTAAAACAAAATAGAACAGGTTAAACTTTCTTTGCACCCAGATAGTTTCTGGTTCAAGTGGAGGTGGTGCAAAAGCTGATTTGAACATTAGCACCTGCAATGCCCTAAAAGTTTGTATGGGTTCAAAAGCACTTGCATAACTTCCTGAAAGTCAAGGGGAGAAAAAATTTGGTTCAGGGCTTTTCTAGCCCAGGCACCCCTGTACCCTGAAATGGTTACTGATGTGGGCAGCTCAAGGGAGACCCTGCAGGTTCCCTTTCCATAACTTCACAGCCATGAATAAAAACAGCAGTAATTGCTGCTTGGATAGTGGACTTATCATGATAACAATAGGTTTGTTCCTCAGCTTCTGTTTTCACTTTTTCTCTTGATATGGATGATTGAAATGTTGATTATCATTAATTATTTTCAATGACAACACTTCCATGCCATAGATGGTGGTAGAGGGTTTTGCAAGAGTTTATCACAATCTGTTTCTCACTTTGTAGCTTCTTTTGACTTTGCCCATCAAATTTTTGCCTGTTGCATGTTTTGGAGAAAGTAGCCCACAAACTCTTGTTCTCTAACACATTAATTTTGCACTGAGAAAATGACCACCTCCTAGTAGAGTCAAATCAAATCTAAAAAAAATCCACAGTAAGTAGGAAGCTGAGCTTCAAAAAGTGTTTCTATTGAGAACAGTATGCAAAGGTAGTCAAAATAAGCACAAAAACATACACATGTACACAAGCACATACACATGCACGTATATGCATAAACCTCAGACTGGAAATTCACAGTGCCAAAAGAAGTGTCAGCAAATGTAGGTGGCAAGGAGAGAAATGGACCCAGAAATACATGGAGGAAAGTGTTAAAGGGATAAAAGAGGAACAGAGTCAGATCAATCTTTAGGCAAAGCTGTAAGATAAAGGGAAGGGGAAATAAAGAGTAGGGAAAATTATTCAAATTTGAAAATTATCTGATGAGCAAATGGTAACTTAACCTTGTTTGCTGAAAAAATACACCCAGATAGCCTGAACATTGGGAAGTATGAAATATTTTAACCTTGTAAATCTGGCTTTGAAAATGAAATGAATGCTTCGCTATGCTGCAAAACTGCTATAAGGGAATGTGAATTGATAACCTATTTTCATGTGTTGATGTATTTCTCTGTTGTTCATATCATTAGGAGATACTCATGTGACTTCAGGTGCACATATGTGCATCCAGTAAACAAATGTTTCTATTCTTGACCAAATAAGGGCCTACTGAAAATAATTCTGACCACATGGAACGTGTCAGGTGTCTGTGCTCTAACCCAGCACACAACTCCTCCCCAAGGCTGCAGATCACCACTGAAGAGGGAGTCTGCAAAAGCCTCTATTTCTCTGCTTCCACTCAATCTCAAACCCTCTTAAGGCCATGAAATACATCTAAAGTAAAGTTTAGTCTTGGGTTGACTTTCTTTAAAGAAGGGAATTTTTACTAGAGTGTAGCTAGCTTTGAAAAGTGACTCTTGAAAGAGTAGCTTCTTGATCAAAAAAATTTCTCTCTCTGTTATCACAAGTTACACCAATATCCTTATGAAAACAATAGTTTTTCCTCCAGAATTCCTGTTCAGAACACCCCTTCAGTCTGTGAAATGCCTTGCTTTTGGTGAAATAATTATATGTGTGAGCTAATCTCAGTGCTAAATATATGCTTGCATGAGGTTACTTCTCGTGCCTTAAAATAACTTCACTTTCTGTTAAAAGATAAAATGGGGACCTCATCAAGGTACCCAGGGCAGGGCCTCAAGGAAGAAACCCAAAGTGAACTTTGGAGTCCAGATGTGGTTCCAAGTTTGGATTTTGAAATTTTTTTATATTTTAACTTACAAAATCTGTGCTGACCATGTCAGATAAGAGACTACTCTGAGGAATATGAAATTCCTTCTCTTTTCAGTCACTTTTCAAAGCTGAACCTATGCTTTACAGTTATTATTTTCAAATCTAGTTAGCACTGCTCTCCCACTGAGAAAAAAGAAAGAGGCCATCTCTAATGTTTATAGAGAGATCAAAAACTTGACCATTGAGCCACACAAGTGACCTCCTCTCTTGAGTAAATTTAGGGAGGTCTAGCAACAACATAGGGAATTCTGGATAAAATAAGACAAAGACTTTCAGAAAGGATTACAAAAGGATAGCCATTCAACCTCTTGAAAAAAAAATGCACTTTACAGAAAAGGAAATTTAATAACAGAAATGTTCTCCAGTGTACAAGTGGGACCTTGTTACACAGGGCCTATTCATTTATGGGGAGGTGAAATTCTCTCCCTGTGCAGTGAATAAATGAAGAAACACATAATTGAAACTAATTCTACTTTGTTTTTCTCACACTGATTTTTCTCTGTGACATGTTGCTGACAAGCTTTTGGATGACAGGTTTTTTTCAGACATTATTCTTTTCCAGGTTGACAAATCTAGATGTTCAACTTGCAGAATGCCTTGCTATTCTCAATAGAAACATTTTTAAAGCTCACCTCGTAAAATATTTTTGGCTTCCATTATGATATGTCTTCAGGGGAGTAATCACCTGCCTGAAACATAATTTTTAATATGAGTTTTCTTCATAATATGGTACAATGTTCCATTAGAATATTGGAAAGTCAGTTCTGCTAGTGTGATGCTCTGGTATGAGTGCTAGACTTGGCTGTGAGACCCTGGCCTGAGTTTCAAAGGGTGCTTAACCCACTGGTGCCCAGTGCAGTTGATAAGAGGCTTTCTATGACTAGGAAGCCCATCTGTTTAACACGAGTGGCATGGTCAGCCCCTCTGCTGCTCTTTATGGCAGCCCCAAAATGATGCTTCAAGAGAAAAGTGCACCAGTGTTCCCTGTCCTGGAATGTATTAAAGCAAAACTGCATCAAGAATGAAGTTACTTTCAGGGGCTCTGCTCTAAGTGAAAAGATAGGAAAAATATTGTTGACAAGAAAAGTATATGGAGAACCTCCAGACTGCTCTTGATAGTTGTGTGTAGATGTCAAAATCACCATGATACCTGCATATTTTAGTCTCATTTTAAGAAGTATCTCCAGTTAGAGAAGCATTTAAGTTATAAGACCACACTAGGTTGTTTCCTAAATTGAGATCTTACAGACTCATTCTGTTTAAAATTTGCATTAAATGGTTTGGTTGACTCAGTTTATTGGTGCTTTCTGTCATTGTTTTGGTTTGGCTTTTACTTTCTGCAAGGAATGAAAAGTATTTCTTTGGGTATTGCCCTGGAATGATTTATTCTGAATTTCGTTTTGAGTCATCCAATGAATTAATCAAATAGTGCCATGAAGATATCAGTTTAAGAAAGTCTCACAAGACATGCAAATACATTCCTGCATAAGTAGATAATCCTAGTTTCAGAAGTTTTGAAAACAAATGAAAAAATGGATATTAAGAATCATGACAAAATTTAGGCTAAGTCTACAGACCATTTTAATCAGTGCCAGGAATGTCAGGAGTGTGTGCTTAACATAATTTATCCTTAACATTAACTAGGTTTCCAATTTGCAACAGCACTGTACCGCAGCTACAACAGTTTTAAATAATAGCTTTTCAGCATCATTCCATTCTGCTTGAGACTAAAAAAGAAATTATTTGCTATACTATAATGCAAAATGCCTTAATATTTTTTCAGTTGAACATAGTCTCAGCTTTAAGTGATGGAGACCCAAATTCTATTCTCTTGTATCAGCATAATGAAGTCTAAACAAAGAAAATGTGCAGTCATTAAAAAAAGATTTATCTTATATACAGAGTATAAATAATATATGTATATATATGTAGTGAGTTTATAACCTCTGTATGTGTAATGCCATATGGCACTACCCCACATGTATGTTTATACATAAATAACATAATACTTGCACATATGTAGGTGTATTTCTATTTGCATATTTGCTTTTAGTACATTCAGTACATATGTAACATTTTACATATTACATGTCAATAACTTCATGTGGCATGCAATATATGTTCAGATAAATGATATCTATATATTAAACACGAAACACAATGTGTAATCAATAAATAATAAATCATGCATGTCTGCAACTGTGTTTGGTTTTACTTACATACATCTTTAATACAGTCACTCTTAAAATTTTAATAACTCAGTTTATTTCAAAAAGTTCATTACTAACCTTCTCAGTTTTTCAGTTACTTTTTCAAGTTCCTCCTGAGCACGTCTCAATTCTATTTCAAGATACTGACGTGTAGAATCAAACTCTGTTTCAAGCATTTCCAGCTTATGGGTAGTGTACGATAGGCGCTTTCGTAATTCCCCCTTCTGTTCTTGCAAAGTACTAGAAAAACAAAGACCACAGCTGTAGAATTTAGCTGCTCCCAAAAAGCTTTTTATAATCTACTCTTTGACCAGTTCCCTAGAGTATAGCTTGGCCTCAAGCCAGAAAAGTGTGCTTAATTTGTTTACTGCACTTTGAAAATCTTCTGATTCAGACAGCTGACTATCTTCCATCTGTCCTTTCTGGTGCATTTCTTGCTACTACCTCATTATCCAGAATGGTATAAGTTGTGAAAGAATCTTCATTAAAATACAAAACACAGTCTAGAGTTTGGTTTCACATAGGACCTTCTGTTTAAAATTATCTTACCATACAATGACTGAAGCAGCAGGTCTCTATAGAGCAGCAACAATAAACTATGCAAAAATATTTCCTTGCCTAAAATCCAAATTACAATTCTGTAGAGGAAGAAATTTTCGTCTTTGATTCTTTTTTCACCCCAATCATTGCCACAGAGATGCCAGAGATCTTATTGTTCAGCATTTCATTTGGAGAACGGTATCTATTAATAATATCACAGTTTTAAGGTTGCAGATCTTTTCCTTTTCCCCCCACTTATTTGGGGACTAAGGCTCTCCAGACTCAGGTGTAATCCCTAATTATGCACAGTTCTTTCACTAAAGAGCTTATGTAAGATTGTAATCTATCTTCAGTTACAGTCTTAAACAAACCAAAGCATGAGATTCAGGTGAGCCACAGAGTATGCCTTAATTCTTATCTGCACAATGGAGATTTTTGTATCTTTGTCTATTTAGTTTGCAAGCTCTTGAGTCTTCTAGCATGTTTGCCAGTTGAACAGCAGGATGGGATTCCTGCCAGAGCTGGGTTCTCTGGAGATGACTGGAACTTGGTTCATATACTGCAACCTCAGTATGGAGCTGATTTCTCGGCTCCAGGTGGGATCTCTGAGGCGCTGTGGAACTGGGGTCTGCCATCACCTAGACACAAAGTGCTACCTCAGGATGCATTGTGAATTGCCTTGATGTTTTTTTTTTAATCATATGATAAAAATAGTTCTTCCTAAATGAATGGCAAATCTTGATTCTCTTTGATGTCAAGTGAGTGCTGCCATCAGCCACAGCAGAATAATGTTTTGGGTCTTTAATTAGACAAGAGAGTTGGGAACAACATGTCAGTCTTCAAGGAACACTTATCTGAGCTGTCTACAGTGTGACTGGCTTCTCCTCTACAAGCTGTGATAGGAGCTCAGTAAGTTAATGCAAAAGCCTTACAATTGCTGCTTGCTTGATCCGTGCAGCTTTGAGCTGGGAAACAGCCTAATGTTTGCCAACACGGCGCTCTATTTCAATTGCACATATTGCGTGGTTACAGTTATACTTAGATTACCACTTGTGGTTATATTCTCTTAAAATAATATATTCTAATTCAGACATTTAATGTAGCTCCACTTAATATAACCATTTAATTTTTATATTTCACTTGGTGAATTAAACTCTGAAGTTATCTAGGGAACTGGGAGCCCATGCTGCTCATTTCTACATGTTCTCATTGGTGATGTTACCACATCACCAATTACAAGGTGGTAACCTTTCACTTGCTCTGCTTCTGGCCTGTTCCTGCTCATCTTGTAAAGAAGAGTGGTCAGTTTTCCTTCCTGTAACCTGGAAACTTGGATTTTCTTCTGTGAAGTGGCAGTTACAGTGTCAAAACTGTCCAGAGTGAAAAGAGATATGATCTCAAGTCTTCTGCTGCTCTAAAATTCTAACCACTAGGATTTGTATGAAAATAGACAGTGGGTCTTCCAGCTAAGATTTTGGATAAAAATGCCCAGGCTGAGGCTGCTGGGCAAATGCAGTTAATGCAAGTTAAACCAGATCAGGGAAGGTTTATGATGGGATTATTTAGGATACAATAGTAGATGCATAACAGTGAGTCCTTATTAAAATACAAATTATTAGATGGAAAGGCAAGAATTTCAGAAGGAAATTACATTCTGACATGAATATGCTGAGTGGCAAAAAACTTATAGTCACTTTTATGGAAGAAGAAAAAAGAGAGACAGAGAGAGAAAAGACCCCAGTTGGGAAACTGTTAAAACATCTGCTTTAATATCCATCTTGAGTCAAGCAAGTTCTGGAAAGATAGCTAACTTTAAGCAATGGCACAACTTACACTCGTGAATGGCACAACAGGGAAATTTTCCCAAATCTTAGACTGTAACCATTGAATGGGTACTAATAGCTGTAACACTGAAAGCAGATTTCCCAGAATTCCCAAGATGGCTTTGATTTCTGCATGATTTGAGCCTTATCTAGATACATTACTGGTTTGAGGTAAACCCTGTTGTTTTCTCTTGATTTTGGTTCTATATGAACAAGCATCTAAGAAACAAAGGCAAAGCAAGTGAAACAGCAAATGAAAGAATAAGTGGATGCAAAGTATCAAATTCTGCATCATTAATAACAAGATGAGAGTCTCAAATTTTGTTTCGTACTAATCTAAGATATTTAAAATCTAAGGTTTCTTTTGGTGTTTTGTTTTGGTTTTTTTTTTCATATCTCATGAAACAGATGTTCTTTCTCTGGAAACCTTCCCCTTACCATTATCTACTAGTGTCACCACATAATGACATGCTTGGATTCTCATTCCTTATGCTGTGTTGTGTTTTTTGTTCTAGAAATCTGAGGTTTTCATGAGGAGGGCTTAATTTTGTTCTGTATGACTGTAAATTTGATAATGGTAATTTAATCAGAGTTGAAATGAGAGAAAAGATAAAAAGTCAAAACATGGAGTCACAAAGTCAACCATTTAGCATTTTCCCTTTTCTTCAATCCAACCAACCAACTCCATAAATTAGCTGCATTTTGTTTCTGCTTGTCACATACCAGTTAATTAGAAAAGTTCATTGCACAATTTTTTAATGCTACTAAATCACTATATTTTGGTCAATAATTTATGTTCTATGGATAGTTGATCCTCATGGTTCTTTAGTTTTATATATATGTAAAACTAAGGAAATAATTAAATGGAAGAAGTACAGCCAGGAGAAAGGACAGGACTTATTTGCAAATAAAAAGTATTCTGGTAGTGTTATGTCTTAACAATCTGATAATGCTATGTCTTAGAAAACACAAATCCTATATTCAGTGGTCTTCCTGAAACTCTGACAGCTTCAAGGAGTATGGAATTACAGGGCAGGCTCAAAGGCCCTGTGGATTATTCCACCTTTAGCATAAGGGGTTGCCTATTTCTTCTAATGATCTCTAATATTCTGCTCCTGTGACAATCAGAGGTCTGCAAGTCATTACCCACTTTCCTTCATTAAAATATTTCTTTAACAACAAAGACAGTAAATACAATATTAAATATTTAGATGGCTGAAAAAAAACCTCTCAAGGGAAGCTACTTTAAAGGTTATTAAAAACAAGTCTTTAAACTCTCCGAAGTATTATTTTCACTGATTAGCTCTGTTTATATTCATAAAAAGTATAAAATAGATGAAACATATATTTGCACAGAAATTTGTGTCCACAAACATTATCTCAGCTTGCAGCTGTTAGTCAGGGTTAAGCCCTAGTGCTGGCTGGAGGAGCTCCAGGTGAGCATATTCCCACTGGATTTCAGACAGAGCTGAGATGCCACATGATAAGGGCCTATTCTGAGGAAGGTGTGCTGGAAAACAAAGAGGTTTTCATTGTACCTGTCTGATCTTCTGCCAGCTCGTCTGCCTGGCAGATGGGCTGATAACAAAGGAGTGCTGGCATGCAAAGTTGGGGATGCTCAGTTGCCTTGAGGCCAGAGGGTTTCTGGAGCCTTCTACCTTCAGGTGGCCCACAAAGAGGATGATCCCTGAACCTTTACTCCATAAGAGTTGATGTCTATGGATCTCCCCATTAATGAAGCATTCCAGCAGCCCCACATCTCCACCTCACTGGTCAAACTGCTTCAGCAGCACCTTCCACACCTGCCTGCTCTGGCCATAGATGGTTCTGCAATGTTGCTTAAAACCAGAGAAAACCCATTTTTTTTTGAACTAGGGGAATTCTCTCTGAATAGACTGATTACATTCCTTCACACTGCTCCTGAAGTGAGTGAAAAAGAATTGATTAATGGTATTAGTAGGGAAATCAACAGTGAAACGAATGAGAAAAAAAGGCAAGATAGATGCCCATGCCAAATATACTGAAAAACACCCATATCAAAGGTTCTCTTTTCTGGGTAGATATTTTAGTGCAGCTGTGAAGTCCAAAGTAGAACTAATTGCATTTTGTGGGTTAAAAGCTTGCCTTAGAAGAAATAACGTGTAAGAAGGAACTAACCCAGACTGGGTTTTGGATCTCTGAGTTTTGAGCATAGCTTTGACAAAGGTTATAGCACTCAAGAGAGTTAAGGCAAGACTGAGCTTGCCTACTGCTGGTCAGTTCTGGCTCCTGTTCTTAGTCAAGAGCAGGCACTACCAGGATGAAATTAATCTGACCTATTTTATAGGCCTACTTTTAGATGAGTTGACGCAAATCTGGAAGTGTCAATTTCCGTTAATTACAAAGGGAATCCAGTCAAGTATTTCAGACGCAGACAATCACATCTCATCAGATAACTCCCCCTCTGGCTGACTCAGTTCTGTGTGTATGAGATGAGGTAATAGTATTTCCTTTCTTGTTTGCTTAGATGGCGTGGGGGCCCACAAAAATGAACCACTAAATACTTCTAAAGTGTTTATCAGATCTGCTTCATGTCTGCGATGTGTCACATTCTAAAAAAAACTTCATGGGATTGGGAGTTTGGGAGCACTGAGGAAAATTTTAAAAATGTCTTCTGAACAGAATTTCAGAAATAATGTTTTCTTCTTTTACCATGTGGGGTTTTGTCTAGGGAAAGGTCAATAATTGTCAACCCTATAGAGGCATTTTCTGTGAAAGAGTTTAAAGATCAGGAGAGAGTCTCTGGGAAAGGCCAAAGGAGAACCTGTGCTCCCAGTCATGCCATACCAACGTGGGCCACTGATCACAAACATGGCAGGCAGCCAGAGGGTTTGAGGC